GAACCCTGATGAAGATAAATATTACCTTCTTACCCCATATCCCACATTAATGCAATCACTCAAAAAATTTTCACCTGAAAGCATCAGAGCTATTGCTCGAAACCCAAATATTGACCTACAATCAATTGGAATATATTCAAAATCCGATATCCAACATCACATTAGAACACAACAATTCCAAGAATTACTAACACAAATGGACACTATACAAAGACAGTCAATTGACCAAAACTTACGCAAACTTGCCGAAACCGCAGGATTTGCAGATATTTATACACAAGACTGTAGCGGATATTTTAAAGACATTAAAGACTATATATATCTAAACGGTGAAAAATATAGACCACAAGATATTTCACCTATAAATATTTTTAGCTTTGTTACACTAAAAAATGAAATTCTCGATTTTCTAGGATGGCCCTACTACATCTTAGAAAAATTAACTATTTTATACGCAATGTTTAACTTTATAGGATTTCTTTTTTCGCTTTTAAAAGGAATCTATAATACATGCGCTATACACACACAAGTAAATAGACAAGCAAGTGTAGCACGCATACTATTTGCAGGATTTTTTGGAATTTTTTCATCATCAATAAACAAAATTCTTTTAGACGCACAAATAAAATAATACAACACAAAAATAGCAACAAGACAGAACACATACGACGAAGAACATAACAATGTAGACATAACGCCTACAGCACCACAGTTACCACCCCTACCACATAACCATCCACTATCACTAGTCCCACGAAATTTTCGAAATTTAGCAATAACACATAATCCAAATTTTAGACCAACCATATCACAAAGTCCCATTCAACATGTAATGACACACCATCCACTAGATGAAAATACATATGAACAAATTATAGAACAACCCCATACCACCGCTTTTCAGTCTCAAAATAATAATTTTTTTAGCCCACGATGAGCCGACAACTTGGATCCCTACACCGCTCAAATTCCCACCCGACCAACCTCAACATTCCAATTACAATAATTCCACTTTTTGCTTTCCCGCCACCCGATTTCCCAACCAATAATGTAACATCAGGCATGAATTCAGACACTAATTCACATATCTCAGTTTTATACTCCATCTCACAACTCAATAACCCAGATATTGAAACCCCTGATGAATTTGCAGACTCTGAACCATCTCCATCCAATAATTTTCAAACCAACTCCTCAGTTTTTTCAAAACCCCCTTTTCAACCAATCCCGCCAAATAACCCACTCCCATCGATTTCTACACCCTCTTATGCTTCACAAGTCACCCCAACCTACTCTTCATTTCATTCAAGACCGATCATCCAATTCTCCAGATACTCCCCAAATCTCCCAGGAACTAGATAATTTTATCACCCTACAACAACAACCCTTCCACCTTGAAAATTCCACTATAAACCAGATTTCATCCACAATAGAATCATTAAACCCACCTACCCCTACACCCTCTTCAGCTTATACCGCATCATTAGCACCATCCTCCACATCCACCGAATCATCAAATAGCACTAATAGAGCTTATCGCACTTTTAAAAGAAAATTCCCGAACCATCCATTTCCAACAAAACCAGGAACAGCCCGTGAATATATTAGTCATCCAAATCACACTAACACGAAAATTTTTTTAGCCATCACCCTAACTTCATTTCCACAGTATACTTTGAACACCCCTGACGACACTAACAACACACGCAGTTTTGTAGATGAACACGTTTTAATGCCTACACTTCAATGGACATCATATTATCATTTTACTAACCCCCTTTGCCTACCTTTATCTAATACTCACATCGATATAGAAAGAAATAAAGATATGCTATATCGACTCACCACACCACTAAAACATAGACAATTTACTTATATAGGATATAAAAAGTCACTAAAAACATACACTGCACCCCGAGCTAACGAATACACGCTAGAATATTACGATCACAACATCATCCGAACTAACCAAGACCAATTTTTAGATGATGACCGTTTCGCTAACCCACAAATCACAGAAAAATTTTTCATCAAAACACCATATGTATTTACACTCAATATATTTGATCGCAAAATCGACCACATCATTTCTGAAGCACTAACCGACACACAAGCTTACGAAAGTTTTAAAAAAAAATTTCAATTATTTTCACTAACCTTTCGTTTCCTTGCACCACATGAACGAGATTTGCACTGCTCACACGATATTATGTTACGCACTAAACAAACCCGCACATATACATATTATCGCTTCATACAAAATCACTTTGATCTACACACTCCATCAAGACAACCACACCACCGATTTCAATTTATTAACTCTAAGTACACTTCACCATTTTTTCTTAACTTCACATATTGCATCAAAGATACTAACCTTCACGGTATTCTTCGCAATTATGATCCCATAACCCAAATGTATATTTTTTGTCCCATCACAAAGACCTTCAACGCAGAAGAATCCAGACCCTTCCTTATCCCACATGAATTTGTTCAACCTATAGAAATCCCCATATTAGAATTCATCCACAACACTAAATATAACCACAAATTATATAATCTCATCCAAAACACACCTTATGATTTTGCAGTTGGCACTGAAGAACTAAAAACCATTAAAGCACTTCAATTGCTTTGGCCACTGCTTCAAACTAAAAACATCATTCGCATACTAGCAAAGTTACTAACAAATTCCGACATAATCCACGACATCTTCCCCCACGGTTTTTCCCCGACGACTAACAAGTAAGTATAAATTATCATTTTCTTAACTAATAAATTTAAAATAAAACACTAACCATTCTTTATCCATGTTTTATTTAGATTTTTAGTCTTCATCTCACGATCATCTGCAAAATACAATAGAGAAAAATAAAAAATTGAAAACTTCATCAAATTCTTCAAAACTCTATTAATATTTTACACTAGATAAATTCAATAAAATTCATACCAATGAAGTAAATTAATTTATAAATTATTTCCCTAAAAGCAGTAATTCTAATAATGATAAAAATTTGTAACATAATTTTTCCCCAAAACTAGCAGTAAAATTGAAATTCTATGTAGTAAATTGATAACACGAAAATGCAGTACTAACCTTTTGATATTTCCATTCACTCGCACAAGAATTCTATCCATACTCGCACAGCTCGCCCACGAAGAATTGTTTAAACAATGAATTTCAGTTTCAAGCTTTCACACTCAACAACTCTAACACACGATAACAAATTTCAAACTTTCCTTTAACCCGGTTGGAAAGGAATTATATACTAAACAAAACTAACCAACGCAGCTTACTAAACACCACAATACATAGAATAACAGCATGACTAAGAAAAGAAAACCAACGGTACCCAAACCGGATTAACCCAGTTTAAAACTGGATAATTTATTCTTTTGAAGACTATTATAAAGTCTAAGAAAGAAATAATAAAACACAAAAAAGTCGAAAGACAAACCCATACCAAAAACAATTTGATTTTTGAAAAAGGACACAACCAACGAAACATAAGAAAAACCACAATAAACCCAACATAAAACGTTATCACATAACAGGACCCCTCACAGAAACCGCACGAAATCATACTCCCACTCCTGGCCTAACCCACCAGAGAGGACGTCCTGAGCATGCTCTATAGCCGGCCTAACCCACCGCGCTACATCCACGCTTTGTGACCACACTTCTATTTTTAATAAGAGGTACTCAAGGGTGAGTAACTCTTCAAAATAACCGAACTAAAACAAAAAGCTTTTGTGAAAACAACTAACCAAAATCATAATTAAAACACCAAACTAATAAAAATTTTATAAAATGTAAATTATACCTTGCAGTATATAGATCAGCATACAACACCAAAGACGAACATCCAAAGACAAAATGACCCCACTACACTCGAAAAAGAATGGCCAACCACAATCAATATGCCGCCCACAATCACAACTCAAAGGATTTAGAGTACGACTTGACTTCGCAGAAAAGGACTTCATTGAACTAGAACAATGACCACCTCGATGTTCAAGTATACGTACAGATCCGAGTAACCAGGCATCCCCTCCACGCACAATCTCCACGCCATTCCCAAACAAGGTCAACCCAAAAGAAGTTCTCTACATGGAACAGAAAAACCTGTCATAGCCAACCATTCTGAAATCAGATTTGAGTTTGTTGCGAAAACCCAGTCGTTGTCATGAGAAGACACAGCGATTGAACCTGGAACTTCTCTAACACGAAAACCCAGAAGAATTATGATGTTCGCCAAATACCAACGTCCATCATCCATCCTTTGAATTACAGAAAGACTATTCTAAAAAACTCTGTAAAACCCGGATGGGTGGAACCTGATCTAAACTACATTTTATGATTGGATAAATTAGATATTTTACCATTGTAAAGTATTTAATATTAACCAATCATGATCCATCTAACTAACAACCCACTTATTTGTAAGTGCTGAAATTACTTGTAATTTCAGCACCAGAGAGATTTGAATTTAACTTAGAAATTAGTTGCCTCTCCAAAGGAACTTCAGCAGCCGCAATAAACCAGTATACCCTAGATCTATTGAGCCTAGCAGAGACTAGTTAAACAACCTGAGACTAGATAGTATAAGAGTAAGATTAGGATCGGTATTAGACTAAGAAGCTGCACGAATCTATCCGGCCGAAAATAAGATAGCGTGACGAGCAGACGGTGTACCCTATCCGAAATTACTCTATGAGTTAACCACCTAGGTTATAACTCATTATTTTTTATCTTATTACTTTTTTTCATGATTCAATAGTTTCATTCTAATTCATCTTGATTTATATCGATAACCTTAGTAGTAACATTGCTGGATGGGCGAGTAGGGAGGGGGGGGGGTTGAGGCAGGGCGAATTGGGTACAGTATAGTATCATTAAAGAAGTAAGTCTGTGATATAGATCCCTCCAATCGATAATAGTGTCAGTGTTTCCCTGATCGATCAATTTCGTCTGATAATTCTCCCTTTATTTGTTTCAGTTCAATCTGCTGATCGATACTGGCAGTAGTAATTTGGCAGTGGCAGGCACCCCTGTGGACTACGTACCCAGTGTATTTCTGCACAAGCAGTAAGTTCATCAATGCAGGTGGGGGGGGGTTATTCATCAGTAAGTCCTTTTGGCATGAAAATTCTGCTTATTGCGAATCATTATTACGCCAAGGTTTGAACGATTTCTCATGCATATTTGGAACGAAATTTTGAATATACTCAATATTTAAATTTGGCAATAGTTATTTTTGGGTCATTCGGTTCGTTGGTCATTAGGGATCGAAACAGAGTTCATGCTGATGGTTCTGCAAGGGTTACAGAGAGCGATAACAATTAACCTTGTCAGAAAAACTTCATCTTTAGTCAATTTTGACTTAAGGTTATTCAAGAGAATAGCGAAGTTCTTTGTTTAGTTTTAATCATCAAATGACAAAAATGTTTCTTCCAATTAAGAGCAGTACGAAAAGCTCCTTCTGATACCAACGCGACAATAGATTTTTGCGGGGGTTACATGAAAGAAAATTATCAGTCTTGTCAGATTAAAGCTTGCGGTCTATTTTTGCCATGTCTGAATTTGTGTGAATCGGGTCAACTTCACGCTTAAAGTACTGATAGAGTACATGTTAGAGATAGAGCACTTGTTATTTTGAAAAAAAGTTTTTTTGCGAGAGCTCTCCACTCAAAATGAGTATAGATTGGCGCCGAAGGCGCCTTTAGAAAAGTTTTAAGGTCAGTCAGTAAAAATGGATATCTCAAACTAGTACAAAGGGGGACCCTATGGGTCGGCGGGGGTCGAATCTCTAAAGAAAGGGCGTCCGCCCCCCGCCCGCCTCCCCATAAATCCGAATTTTTGTGGTCGAGGGGGGGTTTCTCCAGACAAATTTCGACTTTTTAACTCACAATTTTTAAAGCGAGTTTTTAAAAACCAAACAAAGGGTAAGTTGTTGTGTACTCAAATTTAAAACAGTGTTTCACAGGTGAACTTATTTTATAAAATTATGAGGGTTTCAAGATTTCCCTTTTGGCCAATTCGGGCAATTAACGCGCGACATTATTTGTTCTAATAACGCGTAATCGAAGATTTAGTTAGATTTTAAAATTGTTCCAAACTAAACTGAGGCATGTTTTTGGTCTATTTAAACTTGCTTCATGCGAAATATATCACTTTGTATTTCACGTAGCGTGTGGAGAGGTGTATTTCAATCATTTTTTTCTCAATTTTTTTTTTCATTTTCTTAAAAAATACTATCCGTTTATTAAATGTAAGCGCTACTCCATAGACCTTGAAAAGGCAGCCGAAACATTCAGGGATTTGCTCTGATAGGAGCAGTCTTGTTAATTAATAGAATAATATGTTTCCTAATCCTAATGAACCATGCTTTGTACCGAGTTGGAGAGTTAGAGAAGGTGTCCTTTCAAAACCTTTAAAATTTTTTGCGATAACGATCTTTGAGTTTTTGTCGAGCGCTTTTAATAATAAGACTGCGCGTATCACAGCAAAGCCCTGAATGCTTTGAATGCGTTGTATTTTTTATAGGGTAGTTTATATAAAATAAATTGATGAAAATTTCAAAAGAAAAAAAAAGAAAAATTATGTGTTTTTAGTTTTTTGGAAATCATTCCACTATCAGCTATGTGAAGTTATAAAGGAGGTTTTTGCATACCGCATGGTATTGAATGGAGGACCATTGAGCATGCCCCATCAGAGTTTGGAATGATTTCTACGGCTGATCTAATCTCCGCTTACGCGGTAATTGCACGAAACATATCGCGCGTTAATTGTACCAAATTGGCCAAATTGGCATTTTTTAACCCTCATAACTCTACTTAAAACGTCACAGGTGATATACTTGTTTAAAAATTGAACTCAGGACTTTTTGAATGATTTAAAAAAACTCCGTCAAAAGTTGCTTGTGAAAAAGTCGGAACTTATCTGGAGAAATCAAAACACCCGAGCACAAACATTCCGTTCTTTTCTTCGAAAATTAATGGAACCTCGAAAATGTTACAGAAATTAAGATGGATGGATGCAAAAAAAAACAAATTAAATTCATGGATTTATCATAGTGATTGGAGCAAACATTCAAAGTTGATTAAAAAAGGGAAAAAGAATCAAAAGTTTTTTTTCCGATGTTTTTAGTGAGAGCGGAGTGAAATACGCAACAATTCGCAAAGTTTGGCTAGATGCAATTGTTTTTTTTTTAATTTTATTTTGAAGTCTTCTTTTGAGTAGTTATAACATACCCGCGGTGGATTTCTATGCATAATAATCGATTATAAAGGGAATTTGTTACATAATTGTTGTCATTACAATCCGTTATTGAGGCAAATACATATTATCTGCGTAAAATTACAAGTTGATGGAAATATAATCTATATATATTTTTTGCATAAGCAATTGCAAAACTTGCAACATTGTATGCCTTACTCACGGCCTACTCGCAATCTAAACCTAATCAAATAGATATTCACGGCACAATTACCGCTAGGTTACCGCCACCACGTTTGACCCAACCACACCCCCTATAACTGTTTACCGCCCACATATTTACCATACCCTCCCTCGCTTCCACATTTGCACCCCCTCACATCCACCCCCCCCCCCCCTCTACATAGTTTACCCCACTTACACACAATTATACCACTCCCCCGTTGATCGTTACCCCCATGCCACGTCCCCCCTACTCCCCGTAAAAGTGAAGGGGTTAATGCACGGGGGAAGGAAACGGGAGCGGAGGGCTGAAAAGAAGAAAGTGTAAGCGGGCGTGTACGAGGGTGTATGAGGGGGTTGATAAAGGGGCAGTGGTGATAGGGGGTGCTTTTGTACACTTGGGAGACAAGATATTTATTTTGTCAGCCAAAGTAAACCTATTTTTATATTGATGTCACGTATATCCGGCCAAAAGCAACCGTTCAGTTTTGAACTTACGGATCTATGTTTATACTGCAATTTTCTAGAATAGTTTAAGAAAAAAACTCATAATCCATTCTAATTGATTATAATTGATTAAAATCGATTTTTTTGATTTGGCAAAAATTAGGATCATAATGTATTTTTAGTCGAATATACTCGATCATTTTTGAATTTTATAGAGACTGACAACGAGAATCCAATATAATCGATAATTATCCTAGAAACTATGGTGCAGGTAGTTTCACATAATAAGTTTCACAGATAAGAAAGCTATCGAAAAACATTACGAGGCCAAACTGTGAATTTTGTGCATTGTAAGCGGATTCCGGAACGGGCCAAAATCAGATTTGTCGCGGAATCCACAACATTGTTACTTTTCTTTGATCTTCTCTACTTTTTTGGATTCCACAAACAAATACAAATAGCTAAAACACTGTTTTGCTTAAAATTGGTCCAAAAACAGGCATTTTTGCCGAGTCCGCAACAAAATTTGTGGAATCCGCAACAAAGTTTGCGGAATCCGGAACAGTTTGTGGAATCCACAAACAAATAATAATATATGTGTTTAGTAAATTTAAGCTGTCCTGGAATCCGCAACTGTAAGTGGAATCCTCAAGTTGTTAGCGGAATCCGCCAATTGTAAGTGGAATCCGCAAATTGTAAGTGGAGTCCGCAAGTTGTAAGCGGAAACCGCAAATTGTAAGCGGAATCCGCATAAATTTGCGGAATCTACTTACATTTGCGGAATCCGCTTACAGTTGCGGAATCCAGAACTACTAGCTATATTCTCCTGTTGCGAAACCCGCGACAAAACAAATGTGCCGACAAAAGTTACGTTACAAGTGTTTGTACGTGGAATCCACAGAAATGTTGTAGGTGGAATCCACTTACAGTTTGGAACATGTTTAAAAATTAGTCTCTGGAATCTAGGAACATATAGACACAAAATTGTGCGCCTATCCAGTGCAGAGTTTGGCCTCGTAATGAACTTTTGTGGCACAAATTTTACAGGTTGAATAATATTCTGCGCTGGGTCAAGTTGATGCCCATTCAGTGTTGCTCCTTTTGGTGTATGGTAAAACTAATTTGTATAACTGCAACAATATTAAACAAAAACACAAAAACCTTCAAATCGTCTCCCAGATCCGAGTAGTCTTTTTATCCCAATAATAAACATCTTGATGAAAATTGAAAAGTTTCTCATTACTACATTTAGTGTAAAAACAACAAAAAAACCGTTTGGACCATTCAGTAGGAATTTTACAGGAACAGGCTGTCTTTGTTAAGAAAAATAGCTTGTGAAGTAAAGGTTTCTCTATTGTTATACTAGAAAGCAAAAAATACACATGTAGTTGCCTAGTTATGAATAAAATTTTTCTGAGTAATCTTTTTTCAAGGTCATCCACCTTCAGCTGGTTAAGCGACAGAGTATCCGTCCAGTACAGTCAAGGCTATTGGGAGGGCGAACTAGCACGTGACCAACTCAAGTTTTCAGCTCTGCCCACTCGACCAATCACAGCCGAGTTTGCAGTGATAGACTACTCTGAGGATTTCTTCTCGGAAGGCACGGATTGGCAGGGTATTCTGGGACTGGGTTACGAGACTATAGCTGAAGAGGTAATGAAAATAACATTGTGTATATATGGATGTAACATAAGGTCCGTCACCAAATATGGATGTCTGAAAATAGTACGAAGGGGGACCCTTTGGGTCGGCAGGGGATCGAATCCCTGAAGAAAGAGACGTCCGCCCCCCCCCCCGCTCCTCACCCCCCCCCCCCCCTGAATCCGCCCCTGATTGTGTTTGCTCCATCATAAAAAAGCAGCTAAAAGCGCAAGAGGGTACAAAACACAAGGAATGTTTTGTTATTCAGAAAATATAAGAGTACAATTACTACAGCTGCCTCCTTAAAATTTACATGAATCGCTGACGAACAATTGATGCGCCTGGAATTTTTTCAAAAAAAATTGTTTTACAAGTGTTTTCATTTCTCTATGAGGTTATCATAAAAGTTGCGGGACCCATCAAAAAATCCATGAACCCATTCCATTCTAGCTTTTTGTTGGAAAAACATATACCATATTTGTAGCAACAAGGATTATTGTTTGAAGGCCTGATTTGAGTTTTTTTGAGCCGGGAGTTTGCTTAAAAAATTCCGATATTTCCTCGCCCAAAAATCATTGTCTGATATAGTTCCTCGAAACAACGACAAATCTTCTCGGTCGCACATCATCGAGACTCCTCTTTTGGATCTTGACGGCCGCAACGTACCACTTTTGAATCGCGGTGGTCACTACTTAAGACGCGTATCTCGGCCAGGGAAGTAACGCTAAATTCCTGGTTTAGGGCGTGGAGCCTTTCTGGGTGAGTTACATCAGAGAACACATCTTCAAGGACATCTTCTCCCTCAGTCTCTGTGGGTTGCAGAGCAAGACTCACCTGGACCAGAGCAGTCCAGATGGGAGAAGCAAAGACGATGATGAAGCCCAGGGAACGCTGGTCAGAATTTTAAATTGGATCTTTAAAATTTAAAACATTTGCAAATATTTTAAAGTTTTCCTTGAAATCTTCCGCAAAAATCTGCTTCTGACTATCACCTGATCTACTCGCAAACGTATAAAAACCCTAGTTTTAGTTAATAAATGTAAGTAAAAATTCTATTTGTTATTTATTATAGTTCAGGAATTGTTTTTGTTGATTGTTAGTTCTTTTTGTTAATTGTTTTTGGCTTATTGAACAACTTATAATGCTGTTACAAATCAATAAGCCCGAATCATTTTTTAAGGAAATATTTTATTTGTTCAGACGTTGGGCGGTGCTGACCCGGATGTGTTTGTGGGGTCGATGCAGTTCACGCCCATTGTGAGACCAGACTACTTTGAAGTGCTCATCACTGATGTCAAGGTCAACCACGACAGTCTCAGACTAGACTGCAAAGAGGTCAGTTGAGGCCATTTTGGAGCCGAAAAGATAGTTGAACTTAATTGCATTTAATTGGTCAAGAACTAAAAACATTTGTTGATGTTTAATTTGACTCGGTTTTTTTTAAAAAAAATTAGTTACAAGCTGAAATCCGACATGGAAAATTTCAGTTTAAGGTTATTCAACTTCGTCCATTAGAAAACTAAGAAGATTCGTTGACCAAAAGGTACCAACAATTTCGCAATAACTATAAACAGAACAAAAATAAAGTGAGCTTCTGCTAAAGATTTTCAGGAATTTAAAATTTGAACTTTCACCTGAGCAGTCGAGTCGGCCATTAGAGTAGCTTGCATCATCGGATTTTGTGCCGTCAAAACATTTTGGAAAACACAGTGACAAAAATGACTGATAACTTCGGGTTTTCAATTAAAATTTTCTGGCAGTATTTTTTGATTTTTTGACATTAGACATCCCCCCCCCAAAAAAAAAAAACGTTGCTGAAAAGAAAAAACGTGCCTTAACGATTTTCTTTTAAAATAATCTTTAAACGTTTTGTCTTTTAACTATAAGTTTTTTCAGTACAACTTCCCTCGCTCTATTGTGGACAGCGGAACTACTAATTTACGACTGCCTGCCAGAGTTTTTGATGCAGTGATATATCAACTCACCAGTTATGTCCAAACAACTATGGTAAGACTAACACGTTTTTTTTTTAAATCAAACAAATCGAACATCGTTATTCCATTAGAAGAATTGTACATTTTGCACTTCGCTATCGTAGCATCTTCACGAAACTTGGCGGATAAAATTTTGAGGACTCACTTAAATAACTCCACCCTGAAATGATCCAAGTAATCAATAAACCCCCAACCTCCCATCAAAAAAAAATTAGTTATTAAGTCAACAATCAAAAAGATGAATTTTGAATGGCTAAAAGACGCGTTCTTTTAATCAAAGTTACTTGTTTCTTTTTAAAAAAATTATACGTTACTTGTTTCTTTTTAAAAAATTGATATAAGAAAAAATTGTCCACTTAATCTGGGTTAAACTATTTAATGTCATTAAAACGAAGAATAACCCACAATTGCAAACTAATGCCAAGCCATCGTTTCGGGGATGTTTATGGAAATTTTCATTGAAGTTGATTTTTTGTTTTCTTTTACTGGCTTGCGTTCATACTAAATATTTCACCATGATCAGCGGCAACTAAGAACTTGAAATGCAGGCGTTTTTCTATGAGTTGTTTGTTGCTTGATTCACCAGTGTAAGAACTGTTTTTGCTCAGTAACTAATTCTTGTTTACTTCGATCTTCTTCATATCTGTAACACGGCCAGCGAGAATCCCGAGGTAGGTCCGGTCAGGAGAACAACCACATCAAAGTCTTGCAGGGGCTTGCCTGAATTATTTTTTGCTAGAAACCAGGCCCGGATTACCAGGTTTTTGGTGAAATTTGAACGCAAACCTGTCCAATAGCAGAGTAATCAAGATTTTTTCAATCTTAAGAAAAATGGCAGAAATGCAATTGAAGATTCTTCATTTAAGTAGGGAAATCTTGTGTGCACGGCTATAGAGCTTCTTTCTTTTAAAATTTTAAGTGTGAAACGTGTGAGTTCTTTTGAGAGATAAATTTTTGCCAATCAATTTCTCAGAAACAAAGTTTTTGGTCGCACAAACAGCGCAGCTTAAGATTTTTGGTTATTTTGTTCACTCATTCATTCGTGGTTTTCTTTACAACTGTTTTTCACTCAAAAGTGTTCTGTTGTCAATATAAATGTTGTCAAAATAGTTGGGTCTTCGGTTTTTCCCTAATTGTAACTTCATCCGAGTCTAGTTTGAGCTCACGCGTCAGCTTGTTCCTTAATAAGAGTCCCACAAATTTGAAACATCATTTTTCATTTTGTGTACGTGCCATAGATAGTCGTATATTGTCACCCGAGTCGAGGTTTTTCACCTAATTTGAAGCAAGATTTGAGCGGTTTGAGCGGTTTTCTTAGACAATTACGCTCAAAATCTTGCTTCAAAATGAGCGGTTTGAGCGGTTTTTGAACGGTTTATCTAAAAAAACCGCTCAAAAACCGCGCAAGATTTGAACGGTTTTGAGCGGTTTATCTAAAAAAACCGCTCAAAAAGCGTGCAAGATTTAATAATAAAAATTCGACCACAGAGGGATTCGGACACCCAATCTTCTGCTTCGAAGTCAGACGCCTTATCCGTCAGCCCATTAGACCCTGAAAATAGTGTCGCGCAGCCAATATAAATTACGCACCACAATGAATACTGAATACTCTGCATTTTAATTCATGCTTTTGAAATTCCTGTGACAGTGATACGTACCTCAGACCACAGGTATCCAGTGCATCGTATCCGTCTATATAATCTTGGTCGCACCGTCTCCGCTTCGGTCTGCAAAGACGCGCCGTCTCCACCTCGGTCGCGAAAGTCTTGAAAGTGCACATTTTGGTCGCGCTGGCCAAACGGTCGCGCCGTTGTCTTTGGAGTCGCGCCGTTTCCGCCTAGGTCGCGAAAGTCGCGCCTTAGTTTTTCAGTCGCGAAAATATGGACATGAGTCTGGGACCTCGACCCGGGAAGACCGCTCAAAAACCGCTCAAATCTTGATTGAAAAACCGTTCAAAAATCACCGCAAGAAATGAGCGGTTTTTGAGCGGTTTTTTAAGCAAGATTTGAGCGGTTTGAGCGGTTTTTCCAAAAAAACCGCCCAAACCGCTCAAATCTTGCTGGAAAACCGCTCAAACCCCTCAAATCTTGAGCGGTTTTCGAGCGGGATCTCGACCCGGGCATTCCTTCTGTTAATTGAAAACCGTTGTCGTATCGTTGTTACAATTCCATTAAACAATACTGCCAATATATCATTATAAATTATTTTGTGGAGAAGACCCAGAGGCTTATTTTTTATACTCTGACAAATTGGAAGCCTGTGAAGTTCATGTAGCAGTGTGGTACTGCGGCGTTAGCAGTAGGTAACCTTGAGGACAGTTTGTTAGCTACTGCATCTGCAGTAACCATATGTGCTAATTATATTTATTATGTTATTATTATGTAAGAGTGGTCAAGGCCATTTGGTGATGCTAAAATCCTATAGATGAATTGGTCAGTGTTTTCATATTACAGTGTAACGAACAGTAACCAATCTCAGCTACGAAATCTTGTTAACAAGAATCAAGAACATTAAATTAACAGTATCTATCCTTACTTTTATTCCACGCTACGCATTTAGGGAATATCACATGGCGCAACCAGCAGGATTTCTGGCCCAGGATAATAGAACTGACATGGGAATTCCTGTTTTCTGGACCACAGCAAACAACGATCCACCTTGGAATTTTAAGATATGGTTCGATCAGTTCCTGATGGCGGTAACGGTAAAAGAAAATGTTATCCCAGAAGTTATGCTGGAGGATCCTAAACCGGTGCTGGAGGAGCCGAAACCACGTCCAGAAACAACTAGAGGGGGTGAGTCCGCTGCTGCAACAGCAGCTCGAGAAGCACGGGATAGACTGTTAAGGGATCGAGTAGCAGCCGAGAATGAAGAAAAAAGAGAAAGAGGAATTAAAGTGGGTCACAATATTTACTACAATGAAGTTCAAAAGCGACTAGTATCCAGGCTATTTCTTGCGTTCGGGACGGAAGGAAAGAAACGGTTTGTTCAAAAGAATCCACATGTTGAGATTTCGAAATTGGAATTTGAAGAGATGGTCAGATTAGCGAAGGAGACTTTCAAAAAATGCCAGAGTATCACCTATGAGCGTTAAAAGTTATTTAATAGATCGCAGGAAAATGGAGAATCGTTAGAGGCATTTCATGCCGCGCTAACTGCGCAAGCAGCCAAATCGGCATTGGACACTTTAGAAGATGAGTTAGTCAGAGATCTATTCATTTCTAAAATGCGAAGCCCAGCATTGCAGGACACAATCACGTTTGAAACATTACCTCCTGGCGAAGTGTTGAAGCGTACTAAAAAAAATTGAGCAGAGCAAACAATCGACACAAGCGTTTCAGAAGTCCACTCTGGACCCTGCACAAACAATAACGCAACCGAGTTCTCATATTAAAATCAAGCAGGAACCGATTCTGGCGGCGGGAAACAGAATAATAGAAAACCCTATCGCGAAAGGAATAGACGAAAGCAGCCGGAAGGAAGGGCGATACCGAATAAATATAACGTAGATGATCGGAAACCGAGAATACAGAGATTACAGAGAGTTCGGAGGAAGAATGTAATTTGATACAAACATTTGATTCGTGCAAAGAATTTGAGGTTATGGCAACTGAACAAAAAGACAATCAGATACAGATGATAAATCGGTACATCGAAGAGAAAGTGAAGGGGAACAGAGGTAGTGAAACTGGAGTTAATAAACTCGAAACGAAAAAAATTGACATTCGGAAAGATTCAACACCAGGAAGGATGAAATCATTAAAAGCCCTAATCCGAATTGATAATCAAATCATAAATATGACAGTGGACACAGGAAGTCCAATTTCATTTATAAATTGGACAGTGGCAAAGCAGATTTTAGATTCGTCAGGGAAAATACAATTCACACCTGTCAAAAAACTGAATTTGTCAGCACAATTCGTGGACTATAATAAAATACCAATAGCAATATTGGGTGCTGTGAAAGCGAAAATACGTTCCGCTGGCTGGGAAGTCCCTGATGCTACATTTCGTATAATCGAACGAAGGACATATTGGGCTTAGATTTACAAAATAAAGTGGGTATCACCACTACGCAGAGACCCGCTCCTAAGAAAAAATCCCGATTCGACATAATGCTGTGTGAACAGTCGGAAGCTTGGAAAGAAAAGTTCTATGGTGATTTCAAAAACCTGTTCGACAGAAAAGGACAATCAATACATCATGTAGTAAGCACGACGTTCAAATACCCTCTCTGCCCAATTCAGGAAAAAGGGAGGAGAATACCTATCCATGTGCAGGATAAAGTTGAGAAGGAAATAGAAAAATTACTACTAGAAGGCCATATTCAAAGGTTAGATAAGTGTACTAGTGGTTGTTTCATAGCCCCTATTGTCATCACGGTGAAGAAAGATGACTCAATTAAGTTGGCACTGGATGCAAAGCCCATCAACATACAATTGTACAAAAACAAGTACCAAATGCCGAATGTGGAGGAGATATTAGACGGAGTCAGTCAGATAGTAACTGCACAGGCAGCAGGTACTTTGTTCTTCACTGTGTTAGACTTGAAAATGCGTATAGTCAGCTAAAGTTGACACCACAAATTGCAAGGCAGTGTAATTTCAATATCGTAGGGGGGAAAGCAACAGGTACATATCAATTTTTGACGGGATTCTACGGGTTGGCAGATATGCCAGCAGAATTTCAAAAAGCAATGGATCGAACGTTAAATAATTCTAAGAACACATTTTGTTTCTTGGATGACATATTGATCGTTTCAAAGGGATTGGAGCTAGAACATGAAAAACTAATAACTGACGTCCTAATGAAGTTAGATAAGGAAAACTTATCTCTGAAGTTGTCGAAATGTGAATTCTTTAAAGCAGAAGTAAACTGGCTCGGACATAAACTTTCAGAAAGTGGGGTTACCCCGAAGATTACAAAAACGGAAGCTATTCTTAAGTTAGAGCATCCCAAGTCGCTCAAACAACTTAGGTCCTTCCTCGGTAGCATTAATCACCTTTCGAAGTC